CAGACGTGTGCTCTTCCGATCTCCCCAAAACCCCAAAACCCCAAAACCCCTCATGGTTGAATCCACATAAAGTTAAGGATTGTCTAAATAAGTAATTAATTGTTGAGATAGTCATTTTGCATCTGATACTCTTTTGAGACCAATTGGCGATATATTCTTTGAGTCTTAATGAAATGAATTGTTGGTTTGCTATATTTCATCAGTTTTTATTTAGAAATGCTTAATCATGCCAATAAGAAAGACTAATAGCTCTACAGATCTAAGTAAGGCATTGATCTACATAGCAAACTAATGATTTCTAATTCTATCTTTCCTATCATCAGCTCTTATTGACGCCTCAGTTATTCGATGAATCATGAACTTCTGAATGATTATTGTAAATGCTAAAAACAAGAACCAGTAATATTTCTTGAGAGGCTCAAACTCTGAGATTTTTCCTCGCTGCATACAAAGTGAAAATACATGCAGACTGTAGAGTGTATATATTGTAACGATGATTTCAACTAAATCCAAAATTATCATCACACTTACATTTCCTACTTAGACTATATTGTAGTAGTATAAAAACATGTGAGCAAAATTTTTAGTCGTCACTGCTACAATAAAGAATACTACTGAGCAGACTACTCCTCTCCTGAATTATTTAGCATCTTCATATCTTTCGAAGTACTCATAGGCACAGCAATCAAAGCATCTTGCGACTTTTCTACATTCTAAAATATCTTCATCTAAGGCATCATTCTTCTATTAACTCAAAGGTAATTAATGCTTCTTGATATCTTGTGATGGAAATACTGTATTCAGAATTTTTTCTTCTTCCAAGGCTCTGTCAAATGGTACTCGTAATAGTCTCTCTTAAAGTTATTTTCTTCTTTCAAATTAAGACCCATATTTTTTTATTTAGCTGCTAGTTGTACCTATTGCATTCATTGCAGAAAATCCAGAACCTTATCTATCAATTAACCCCAAATCATCTTAGGAATTTTGAGAAATAAACATAGGATTGTTTTATGCACAATCTGTCTAAAATAATGACTCAAAGAAGACGAATTCCCTCATTAAAGAGAAAAAAGTCCAAAACATAAAGCCCATGTAAATCTTTTCCAAAGTTGAGGCACCAATGTCATAGATTGGTGGCACTGTAATTGACACAATACTGATACATTAGAAAAGTATTGAACCAAAGAATAGTATTGCAATGGGTGATCTCAGGCCAGGATAGGTCATGTATTTCATCTGTAAATATATGGCTCTGATGCTGATAATACAAATTGGTAGCAGAAACCCAATTACAATATATAGTATTGTCATTTCTGGGAGAAAGCTGTCCTCTTTTTCAATTATAAGACTTTGATCCTCTAAAAGATTCATATCGGTGTCTATTCGATCTAAAGCCATTAATTATAAGTTATTTAATCTCTCTTAAGAATCTTTTATCATGCTAGTCATGGGGTTTTGGGGTTTTGGGGTTTTGGGG